CCTGCTGTAGAATTTCTGAGAAAATGTTGGAGACGGAAAACGGACAAAACCTGAATTATAACTCTCCTTTTCAGGCTGCGCCTGAACGGGGACGAATAAAACTGCCATGGGTTTACGCTGCCCTTTGAAAATTGTCACCTTTGAAACACGACTCTGTATTAATCAGTTACATCTATGGTAAAAGTTCATTAAATTATTTTAGCTGTCCGGTTAATGGATTTCAAGAGGAAGATTAATGTTTGTAACACTTGACAGATGAACAAATGTAAAGATGAGCAGACAACAGAAGGACAATAACGTAATATGAATTCATTTGTCAAATTCAATGACAGAGGAGCTATAATGGATTTACTCAAAAAGCAAAAGTTCTCAACAAGAACAAGAATTAACAGCAATTTCCATTATTCATGCTATCTTATCCTCAAATTATTGAAACAAGTTACATCTTTAATTCTAAATCCATCACTCTTTAAAGTTATTACTCAATCAAAGAAGAATGATAAGTAACAAAGTCTTCAAAAAAATAATATACAAACCCCGGGGGCTAAATCGGATGACAGCTGGTACACCCATGAGGATTTGAACTGAAACTTCTTTCATACTTGTCATTCTAGCACAATCAAAATTGCATTTGATGGTCAAAATTCGGCCTTAATATGGGTCTAACAACAATGTGAAAATAAGTGAACATAAAGAATATTGACTAAATTACAGGAAGATTGTTCTAGATTTTGCATGCCAAAACCAAAAATCAAAAGAACTGACCATCATGTCCAGTTAACAGAGGTGTTTGTGTTACTGAACAATGTATGTAATACGATTGTTTCATGAACAAAAACTTGATAAATCTGTTGTTTTACAGATAGTTTACACAACATCACATCATGGTGGTGCAGTTTAGACAGTTTTCTACCTTAACACATGATATTCTATGATAAACTTTATTGGGACTAATTATGCATACTAGTATTCAAGCTCACAGTTCTCAAATTCTATGTAAATCATATTTACTAATTCAATTATTTTACCCACCTTCTGAGTTGTATGTAAACTGTTGAAGATGTTCATAAATAGTTCGATGAAATCGGACACCAAACTCGGTCAAGACAGTACTAACATTTTTACCATCTAACGGCTTGATAATATTCATGGCCTGTACATTGACAAATTGGACAACTTTACTGCAAGCCTAGAAAGAAAGAAAATATACATATGCATAAATTATATACTAACAGATACTTCACAACAGTGTCATTAACAAAAAAATACTAATAAACCACAATTACATTGACAGAATAAAACTAT